CTCTAAGTTTAACACCTAATTGACACTTGTTTCACCCCTTAGTATTTTTTTTTTATTTTTTTATTTTTTTTTCATCTGCATGCTTTTCACCAAGGGCAATAGCAGCCACGTTGCTTTCTATTTTCCTGCCATTGCCACGTTATCAGTTTGTTGGTATTTGAGGGGTGAAGCCACCTATCCTATTTCATGAGTCATCAAAATTAGTTTGACTTTATAAAATTCTTAAGGGCTATCACTCATTTGGTGATTTATAATGATCCTTAAAATTACGTATAATTATAAATTAAGTTCACGTCTAAAAATCTCACTAACAAACTATAAAACATCACTTGTTACTTACTAAAATATTTAACGTGTCACAATTTGTTTCCTTAATAATTTAATTGATAAGTTTCCAATTTCCTAAATTATGTATTTATTTATTTTTATTTTTATTTATTGATTTATTTATTGATTTATTTATTATTATTATTTTTTTGAGTTCTATTTATTGCAAATTTTAAATTTAACAAAAGAAAATTCGGGTGTCACACGTACTATTGTCGGCGTTGTCGTCTCTAGTAATGTTGGCACCGCCACTTGAACTTGTCGCGAGAAATAGCTACCGCAATAACCACAACTAACTTGTAAAGGGAAAACTCTACCGGGGTGATAGCAGCCTTTGAAAGAGGCTTCCCTTCCACAAGTAGAATGTTTAGCGCTAATAGCAAACCCCAAAGCATTATCAGCCTAGGGCTGGTAGTAGGCCCCAAAGTCATTATTAGCTCGGCGCTGATAGCAAGGCTCGTAGCTTACTTGCTAGAGTTGATAGTAGGCCTAGAGGTACTAGTATACTGTGGTGACCCTGCAAAGATGGGAGTAGGGTAACTCGAACGCAAGGGACTCCCTTCCCATTTGCCCAAGGCATAGACCTGCCTTGGTTGCACAAGCAGGACAAAGGAAGCCTTTTTGGGCTTGGTACAAGGCAAACCCCTAGCTGTGGCCTTCGCCTTAGGAAGTAGGGAAGTTTATGGTTACGTGGCTAATGATGGAGAAGTTGTTGAGGTAAACATGAACATTGCTGATAGCAAGCTATGAAATATTGAGAATGAATGTCTTGGCCAAATTAAACTTAGAAAGCAAGTGCAACGGCAAATATTACAGCCGCAAATGCACTTGATGAGGTTCAAAAAGGAAGTTGTTGAGGTATGTGCCAAACAAATAGTACAATGCACATGCTAAGGCATCTGTGCCAAACAGATAGTACATAATACATGTAGAGGGACACGTAGCAACTTCAACCTGGTGGTCTAAGACATAATATTCTATATGATCCTTAGGGACACGTATTCTTATCTTATTTGGCCACTTGGTATTCTTTAGTATCAAGAAAAAACCTATAAATAGGACCCATTTCCCAAGGCCAAATAAAGAACTTCTTCCGACTTCGGGGATATGCTGTCTATTTGTGCATTACCATTTTTTTCTTTTTGAGCCACTCCATCCTCACCTAACTGCTCATCCTCCAACTTTCCTAGATTTGTTGACTCATTAACATAGTTTTACCTATCTGATTATTCTCATAATCACTGTTTATTTTGAACCCTTTACATATGAATATAAAAGACAGATTTGAAATGTGTTCATGTGATGAAAGTATCTGTATACATTCAATAAATTTTTAACAAAATGTACGATTTCTTATGAAATTCTCACAGAGAAATTAAAGGGTAAATTACACTTAGGTTTCGTTTGGTAACATCACATTTTAGCTTAAAAGTCAAAAAGCCGTTAAAAAAATCAAAAAATCAACGACCTATACAAAAAGTCAAATATTTTATTTTTTCTCTATTTTTTGCACATATTTTCCTAAAAACCAAAAAGTCATCCCAAATATACTAGTTTTTTTTTACATCATACTTCAGCCAAAAAACTAAAAAGTTACTAAAAAATCTTGCTCCCAAACGAGGCCTTAGTACCTCCACACTTTCATCAAATTTCATTTTAGTCCTTTCACTTTCAGTTGAAACAGTCAATTTCTTACGCTTTAAATAAAGTTGCAATTTCACTGTTTCGTCCATCTTACTAATAATAAGGTTAACAAAAATTAAAAATAAAGAGAATAAAGTGAGATTTTTGTAAAAATGTAAGGGTACTAATGAGATGAGAAAATCACATATGCTTCAGATGACAAATTGTGTCACCCTTTTTAACGACAAATGAATAGATTGGTAATATTACAACTTGTTAGTAAAATTTTCGTTAGGCTTAAATTGACAAATCTTAACACAAATTTCATCAAACAATGCAATGATCAAGTAATTGTGTTGAGATTTTATGTCTTGAAAGTTTCAAGAACTTCGTTGAAGTAAAAATAATGACAATACAAACATAAACTAAAAAAAGAGAAAGAGAGAAGAAAATGATGAAATAAAATGATTGAATAAATAATCAAATTACAAGTAAATTACTTTTAAAACTACTCTTATTTAGGTTAGAACTATTCCTAGGATAAAAATAAATAGAAATCATGTATTTGTTATAAGTTAACTTAGAAGTTATTTTTTCTATTTTGGTTCTACATTTTTTTAAATACATTATTCAACAAACTTTCTATTATTTCTCTATACTCTTTAAATATTATTTTATTCATTTTTATTTGGAATCATTATTTATAAACTCAACACAATTTCAAAATATAAAAAATAATACTTTTTTAATGTTTGACTAGGATAAACTACTAGTTGCATTTTTTGAGTTAAAATCATCAAAACTAAAATGATTAACTTGATCACTAATTTGATATATTTAAAATTTAGTGATTTATTTACTATTTTAGCTAAAAAAATAAAAATAACTATTTTGATATTGATACTCTTACAATAAAGCTATGAATGACAATTTATAAAAAAAAATGTAAGAAAAAATTACTGCAAACCACCTCCTAACAAATAATTACTCATAACTTCCATCATTTTACATTGTCATTTGTCCTCCATTTATTGAATCTTCATTACTTCTTTTCACTGCCAAGATTTTCTTATATAATAATAACTAAGAGCATCTCCAACGGTGAATCAGATTTTTCATTAAATTTGAGTCCAAAATGACCCATTTTATCAAATTTGATACCACTCACTCCAACGGTGCACTTTCATCAAATTTGTGCCGGGGACAACCGGTTAAGCGATTTTTTTTTTTTTTAACTTTTTGAACCTTTTAGTGGTTAGTGGTCGACCGACTGGTCAACCGGCTGGTCGACCGGTTAGGCAAATTTTTTTTTTTTTTTTACTGTTTGAACCTTTTCTCCGAACCGTTTGAACCTTTAGGCGATCGACCGGTTGGTCAACCGGCCGGGCAACCGGTTGGTCTCTCCCAACGGTCAGGAACAGTGATTTGGTGAAATGCTTCGCCTGTTCTCATTTTGGTAAAAGATTTGCTGAATTCTCGATTTGATATCGATTTGGTGAAACCGTTGGAGCTCAAAAAAGTAGTTTTTTCATCAAATTTTGAATTTGATACCAGGTTTGATGCACCGTTGGAGATGGTCTAACAGAAAGTTTAAAATATGGCCATAATTGATATAACAGCAATGGTTGAGGGGCACAATTTTTGTGGCTTAAATAGTTCGAAATTGTCAAAACGACGTCGTTTTGAGTAAAAAACAACTTTGAAATTGCCAAAACGACGTCGTTTTGACAATTTCGAGCCATTTGAACCACAAAAATTGTGGCCCTCAAACATTAACTTTTTGAACCTTTTAGTGGTCGACCAGCTGGTCGACCGGTTAGGCAAATTTATTTTTTTTTTACTGTTTGAACCTTTTCTTCGAACCGTTTGAACCTTTAGACGATCGACCGGTTGGTCAACCGGCCGGACAACCGACTGGTTGACCGGTTGGTCTCTCCCAACGGTTAGGAACAGTGATTTGGTAAAATGCTTCGCCTGTTCTCATTTTGGTAAAAGATTTGCTGAATTCTCGATTTGGTGAAACCGTTGGAGCTCAAAAAAGTAGCTTTTTCATCAAATTTTGAATTTGATACCAGGTTTGATGCACCGTTGGAGATGGTCTAACAGAAAGTTTAAAATATGGCCATAATTGATATAACAGCAATGGTTGAGGGGCACAATTTTTGTGGCTTAAATAGTTCGAAATTGTCAAAACGACGTCGTTTTGAGTAAAAAACAACTTTGAAATTGCCAAAACGACGTCGTTTTGACAATTTCGAGCCATTTGAACCACAAAAATTGTGGCCCTCAAACATTTTTCTTGATATAATCAATAGGTTATAATCGATCAAAAATTTATTTATGGTGCAAATATAATTGGCCTTAAAATATAAGAGATTGACTATCATAATTGAGAGAGAATATAGCAAAGTGAGATTTTGAAGAACAGTAGTGCTACACGTATTAATTGGTATACCAAGTAATGAATCAACATATGTTATGAAATCATTATTTTAAAACTATGACCTCATTTATTATATAAATTATAAAAACCCAAAATCTATAGAACTATGCTATATCGCGTGGTAATAGACTAATTAGTATATTAATGGATGGAAAAATGCTTGGGAGCACTAATTAGTGCTCCCACTAATTATGTGGCAGTGGGTCCCGCCATTAATGATGTGATGTTTTGGTCTTGCAGTTGTGTTTTTTTTTTATTTGTTTAATGCATTAGTGCTATTAGTGGTGATATTTTTAGTGGGATGAATCATTGTTGTTAGAAAAATGTTAGAGATCATGAAAATTTTGTCATGAAAATGATCATGAAAAATTTGTGACCCTTAGATTACCTTAATTAGTATATGGTGCTTTATTGTAAGTATAATCCAAAGGTCACAAATCTTTCATGACTATTTTCATGAAAGACTTTTCATGATACCTAGCATTGCCGTTGTTGTTAATGGATGTATATCACATTATTGTTTGACCAAACCGCAAATATGATAATTGTAATTAATCCGAAATCAAACTAGCCCTAGTTAAGAATCCTGTAACCGGATTTAGAGTATCATCGCCCAAATTGGCGGGAAAGACCTCCACAGTTGGCGGGAAGCACATACCTAACCCTATTTTATCATTTCATTTCTCACAGATATAGATCGATATAGAGAAAGCGAGCGAGAGAGTGAGTGAGAGTCGAGAGAGTTGAGTTGAGAGACAACAATGGTGGGTCTACCGTACGATTGCCTGGCAAACCCTCTCGGAGCCGTCCGATTGACCTTCGACAAGGCCGTTGCCTCCTCAGGCTCGGATCCAACCACCTTCAACGGCAGAGATTGGGGCGCCACCGATATCTTTCGCGACTTCCTCTTCGATAATGGCGGCCTCTCTCAGGTCCAAACTCTCTCTCTCTCTCTCTCTCCTGATTAATCGATAATATAGAAAAAAAAAGAATCAAATTTTATTACTGGGTTTGTTTTTATTTAGGTGCCGATTCTTAATGCTACGAATCTCCGATGGATTCAACCCAATACACTGGTTCGATTCAGGGGAATGATACAAGATATGTTGGGTAATGAGTTTTATGTCGGTGCTTATAAGGTAAATTGATCTCTTATATCCTCTCATGAACCCATCTCTAATTTCTTTTTTGTTCCCAAATTTTGAGCCTTTAAAATTGGGTATTTTGTTATTTAAAGGATGGAGCAACATGGAGAACCAACAAATTTACTGATGTTTCTCAATTTCCTATGCATTCATCCGCTGATACTCGCATTTGGGAACGCCGCCTTTTGTATTGTGTTCCTGTGAGTTGTTTACATATGTTATGAATTTATTTATATGAGCATTAATATTTTTCTACTTGGTGTGAAAAAATACTTGATGACTGGTGGTATGTTAGAGGAATTCCCTAGGGTTTGATCACATTGTGGGGCATATTCAACTTTAAATTCTTCTTAAATCTCGGTCGGTCATGAATACAAGTTCTTTGCAAATTTTGCCCACAATTTGTTGTTAATTTATCTTACTTTCAGGTTCCGGGGCAGAATTCATGGACCGAATCTTCTTCTGAAGTTGTGTTAAATCCATATGTAAATTGGATATCCCCGACGAGGGAGAAGCGCCAGAGGGAGAACAATGCATCCACTGATGATGTTGATGATGTAGACATGCAGGCAATTTTCATTACTGTTTCTTTGTTGTATATCAATTATTATCCTTCAATCAGTCATCTAAGAACAACCATTTAGAGAGCACCATGAAGCCTTAATACAGTCTGTTTCATTGGTATCCATGTGATGTGAATAGTTGGAGTCATCCAGTGGTTCTGTGCAAAAGATCTCTTTGGGCTCAATGATCTAGTTTGGTTTATACTTGTGTTTAGAAAATGTTTTGGAATTACTTGCCAAAATAACGGTGTTTAAATTATATATTGTGTTGATTTTGGTTTTTTACGTATAGCTTGCTTATGTTGACATTTTTTTTTGTGTGATGATAGGTGTCAGATCATGAGATTCTTTTTTGCTGTGTTTTAGTATTCTTAGTATTAGTATTCAGGATTCTTAGCATTCTGATGCTGTGTTCTTAGTATTCTTAGTATTAGTACTCAGGATTCTGAGTATTCTGATGCTGCGTTCTTAGTATTCTGACGTATTTTGTTTGATGACAGGTGTCAGATCATGAGATTCAGGATTCTCCATGTACGAAAAAGATGGTAAGCTACTCTGACATTAGTTTGCCTCTTATTCTTTGTGGATTTCTTTTCAATTTCCTGATAAAATATAGAAATTCATGGTTAATGCAAGTTATGTTTAATTATCAGGCATAGCTTGCTTCAAGTTCATATCAAAATTTCTAATTGGGTGAAAACCAAGAAACTTCCATGCTGTAACTTTTAAGTTTCAACCATGTAGGTTTAATTGCCAGAAATTATAGATCGATATACAGTGGCTCATAACGTATCACCCCTATTGTTGTCGTCAAAACATTAGAGCAATGTCAATGGTGGCCTCATTTTTGCTTTGTAAATCTTACCGTTACATGAAAGTCAAGTTAACAGTTGTCATATAATTATCTCAAGAAATCATGTGAAAGACCAAAATTTAAAGGGGGCAGAGACAGATATACAGTCACATAGTATAGAAATTTTCTTGAACATTTTTAGCAGATTTGTCCTCAAGGATTGAATCACTTTGAAGTAGTAAAGCAAATGATAATTGTTGAAATGGTAGTTCTTTTATTATTATTATTTTTGAAATGGTGGTTGTCATTAATTTTCTTCCTTTAATCTGATAGTTCTTCCTTCTTTACAGCGAGAAGGTGGGCCGGCTTCCCTGTCTTCTCACCTGGAGGAGTCAACAACTGAGGGAACTTGTCCTAGTACAAGTATGGTGTTTGATTTTGACAGAAATTCGTTTCCTTGTCTTGTGAAGGTGAATATGATCCTTCTCCTTTGTTTTAATTTACAGATATAAAAAATATCATCCCTATAAAGCATTCTTTAGCAATATTGCTTCATCTTTGTATTTCCAATGATTTATGCAGGTATATGACTCTCTAGAAGATGACTTGAAGCTGAATGATGTTTTTGAGTTTGTGGGTGTCCTCACTTTTGATCTGGAGCCTAGTGTAGACAAAGATGATTCTGATGAGTTATCAAGTACTTTATGTGAAGATGAATTGTCTCATTCGCCTCCTAGCAAGGTTTAGAATATATCTTTTGTTTGCAGATATTTTGTTTCTGTTGTAGTATCTCTCTTCTTTTTTCCTCGGTTTGGTTTGCAACAACTATAATTCTACAGACAAGTTCATCATGGGTTTATAACACTATCATCATTGAAAGGTTATGCTACTGAATTTAGTGATAAATAACCTTGTGGGTGGTAATCATTACTGATGGGGCGGAATGGAAAAACAAGAAGTAGTAGAGAAACTGGCTTTGTTGAGTTGCATCTTTTAAGAATTTTAAGCTTCCGTTTTTCAATTGTCTATACATTTCTTGAACCCACCAATGGTCAAAAGAACATCTGCTCATTTAAGTGTGATGTTGTCACTATCGAAGATTGTACCACTTGACTGGTAAATCTAGTAACTCTCTCAATCAAACTTTTGACATGTGTTTGTTAGTGGCATATGATTGTGCCATTAGGATGGCGTGTTTGGTATTACAATGCCAGTTGTACTGGAATTAAACCATTAGTTTGAGCAGAAAGGGTTTTAAATTAGATGGAGTATGGAGTCATAATCACAGGGTAATTAAGTTGACAGAGTTTCAAATTTCAATCTCTATGGCTTGAGGTTAACTACGAATCTTTAACCTTTAAAATATGAATTTTCCAACTGATTCATGTTACTTCAGTTTAGAGAAATTATGAAAACTATAGTTCACCATATCTCTCGAAGCATCAAGTTTTGATTTAAGCTAACATCATGAGTTAGGACCGAGGAATGTGATTAGGATTTTCAAGATATGTAAGATAATTAAATTTCTCTCGAGTCAGATCATGCATTGGATAAAAATTATAAATTAAGTTCAGATTTAGATCCTCAGTGCAACTTTTATGTTGCTTTTGCATATTTCTGATTTGCTTCATATATTCATCATTTGCATAATAAGATTTTCATTTACCAATTTATGTCTTGCTATCACTAAATTGGTTGTGTATATTCACTATCGCCTTTCAACTCTTAAGATTTTCTTTTGCGCTGGTATAGGTTATGTTGTAACTAGTTTTCTTTACAGGTGCCACGCCTCCATTGTCTTGTACATCGGAAGCTTGAAGTTCATGATTTTCTTTCTAGTTCCCCCATAATGGAGGTGGTTGAATTTCCCTGCTTTATCTCTATATAGTTGGTATTATTGATTTGTAATCTGCCAAGTTTTAGTGTTTTTTTTTTTGTTCTTTATTTTCTTGCTTAGTTCACCATGTTATTCAATTATTCTACAGCCAAAATCCAATTTGGTGAAAGAGATGAGGGAGACTCTTCTGGGACATCTTACAGCTGTTCTTGGAAATGATGGCGTGGCAGCTCATTTCATGTTATTGCATCTTTTGTCCAGGGTACGAGGCTTGTCCTCATAGTCACAGTTCTTTAATTTTATTTAACGTGTTCTATGAAGCCCATACATCAGATATTATACCTTTTCATAGTTCCATCAGAGCATTTCTTATTTCAAAACATTTGATCTCGAATTTGTTGTGTTGGATTTATTGCCTTTGCACATTTTTTGCACAAGTAACAAGTTTCTTTATAACAGGTGCATGCCAGGGTTGACACACTTGCAGTGGGGAAGCTTTCACTAAATCTTACTAGTTTTAACAAGGAAAATGTGTCTATTTTTGGCAATCGTCTTAACCTTGCTGTCAAAAATCTTGTACCTTTTACTCATTTTATACCTCTTACCGTGGATTATCTCAACACTGCTTCACTTGCCCCAAGAAAGGATTACGAAACAAACAGGTAAAGATTTTTTGGTTTGTGCAACTAGAGATTGACATCTGTATTGCTCATTATTTTCTCACAAGTTCATATGCTTATGCTCCAGACTGGTGTCTGGAGTTCTGCAGCTAGCTAAGGGCTCGCACATGATGATTGATGAGACACATTTACAAGCAGGGACACTCAACTCTGTCGGGGTTGAGAATGCAAGATTGATAAAGAATCTAATGGAGTTGCAAAAAGTAATTTCCAACTTATGCCCCAATTGTATACATGTCATGTAAAATCTTGCGATAAAGGTTTATGATAGGTGTTATGTACACAAGCATTGGAAAGCTGTATAATTTTACTTTTACGATCTTGTTCTTGTGCATTGTTGAATGACTACAACATTGATTTCAGAGGCAACTTTTGGGGCTAAGTACATGCTTTTGTGTCTTTTACTTGCCAGGTGGAGTATGATTTTAAGTACTATAAGATGGAGATGGAAGCGGATGTCCAATTACTAATTCTTTCTGAGGGGAAATCAAACATCCTGCCGGCTGATCTGGTTCTTCCTTTCCGTCCATTGTCAGTGGAGTCCTGTGAAATTGGGGATGCAGAAGCTCTGAAAGCTTGGAGATGGATACTTGGCGAGTCTAAAATCATTACCTCATTCCATTGAGCCAGACATGCAAAAGGTATGAGTTGACTGACTCCTTTGGCTATACATGAGTAGTTTGTATTTTAATAAGATGGATTTCCATTTGCTAGGAAAGGCAAATGTAAATCCTGTGTTCTAAGGGAATGCAATTTCCAACTCTAGGGACATGTTGCCACTTAAAATTGACAAAACTGTGTAATCATGCTGCTGAGCGTAGGGTAGTATGAGTAAAATGTTAACAGTTGATGGAGCCTGCTCAATCATCATAACTGTTTCATGCCAAGGCAAAAGCATTTGGGTATTGTTTTGCTTGGCAATTAAATATCATATTTGACTTGCTCCTGGGAGCAAATATTAAATTACTTTTACTCTGAAAATAATTCTTTTGAAATTTCATTGTTATCAAAATCGTAGGATTGAGGCTTTGTTGAATTAATATTTATTTATTTTTAATTGAAAGTTTATATCGAGTTATTTACCAAAAAATAAAGAGTTGTTAATACTATACTTATAATATGTTATAAGTTAATACTATATTAATCTGTATAGATCTACAGCTGCTAATAGTAGATAGTATATTTAATAGATTATATTAAATATCTGTATAGATAGTTGTTGCTAGCCTAGCACAGATAGACGCCTTCTTTTCCTTTTGCTTTCAGCTATCTTTCGGTGGCCTTTCATTTGTATATTTCCTTTGTTCATCATTTTGTCTTGTAAAACATCTCCTATATAATGGAGGTTCCATTTGGTTGCAATATACATACTTGCCAGGTGGAGTATGATTTTAAGTACTATAAGATGGAGATGGAAGCGGATGTCCAATTACTAATTCTTTCTGAGGGGAAATCAAACATCCTGCCGGCTGATCTGGTTCTTCCTTTCCGTCCATTGTCAGTGGAGTCCTGTGAAATTGGGGATGCAAAAGCTCTGAAAGCTTGGAGATGGTACTTGGCTAGTCTAAAATCATTACCTCATTCCATTGAGCCAGACATGCAAAAGGTATGAGTTGACTGACTCCTTTGGCTATACATGAGTAGTTTGTATTTTAATAAGATGGATTTCCATTTGCTAGGAAAGGCAAATGTAAATCCTGTGTTCTAAGGGAATGCAATTTCCAACTCTAGGGACATGTTGCCACTTAAAATTGACAAAACTGTGTAATCATGCTGCTGAGCGTAGGGTAGTATGAGTAAAATGTTAACAGTTGATGGAGCCCGCTCAATCATCATAACTGTTTCATGCCAAGGCAAAAGCATTTGGGTATTGTTTTGCTTGGCAATTAAATATCATATTTGACTTGCTCGTGGGAGCAAATATTAAATTACTTTTACTCTGAAAATAATTCTTTTGAAATTTCATTACAGTGGTGTTGGAATATCGTAGGATGGTTATCAAAATCGTAGGATTGAGGCTTTGTTGAATTAATATTTATTTATTTTTAATTGAAAGTTTATATCGAGTTATTTACCAAAAAATAAAAAGAGTTGTTAATACTATACCTATAATATGTTATAAGTTAATACTATATTAATCTGTATAGATCTACAGCTGCTAATAGTAGATAGTATATTTAATAGATTATATTAAATATGTGTATAGATAGTTGTTGCTAGCCTAGCACAGATAGACGCCTTCTTTTCCTTTTGCTTTCAGCTATCTTTCGGTGGCCTTTCATTTGTATATTTCCTTTGTTCATCATTTTGTCTTGTAAAACATCTCCTATATAATGGAGGTTCCATTTGGTTGCAATACACATCAAAAACATAGAGCTAATATTTGCTCTCTCATTCTCTCTCAATTTCTAATATGGTATCAGAGCGATTTTTCATAAGAAACAACCATGTAAAACGAGAAAAATCATCTATAAAAACAACAAAATAACATGCGCCTCCCATAGTAGGAGTAGGAGAGGGTCCCCAAATATCAGAATGAATGAGATCAAAGGGTGCAAGAGAAACATAATCACTTTTATTAAACGACAAAGCAGGTTGTTTTGCAAGTTGACAGGACACACAATTGAAAGCATCAGAACTTACAGTACCCAAATGACCACTAGAAATTAAAGACTTCAAACGACCAACAGAAAGATGGCCCAAACGATAGTGCCAAAGCTGAAAATGAGATAAAGGAGGAGCAGTGATAGCAGTGGTAGGAGCAGTGATTTGAGAGGAATCCGGAACATGAAGATGGATAAGTTCGTAGAGACGTCCTTGCTTACGGCCTATCCCAAGAGTTTGCCTGGTCCGAGGTCCTGCACCAAACAACCAGTATGGGAAAAGGTAACAGTTAGACCATGCTCACATAATTGACTAATGGAGATAAGATTTAAAGTGAGAGCAGGCATAAGATATACATGGGATAAAGATAAGTGAGAGGTGGAAACAGACCCAACATGACTTACAGACAGAAGAGACCCATCAGCAGTATGGATAGAAGGAACATGAGGAGTCGATGAGAGATGAGTAAAAATAGTAGGATCAAAGGTCATGTGATTACAACAAGCGGAGTCAAAGTACCAGGAAGTGTTACCTGCGGTGGTAGACAAAGCAGTAGATGGAGTACTGGAATGCCAGAGAAAATGTTGAAACATGGCTTCAACATCGGTATGAGAGAAGACCGGAGTGGAAGGATCTACAGGGACAGAAGAAGGTGAATCTTCGGAGGCGGCAGCAGCAGTGCGTGGAGCAGGCATGTTTTTAAATGGAGTCCCAGAACGGTGAGAGTTGCTGCGGGAAAAATTCCCGGTGGAATGACCATGGCGAGAGGCACGGGTAGGATTGCGGAAGCAATCTTGTTGGAGATGACCGGGGCCAGTCTTGTTGCAAAATCGACAAAGACGAACGGGACAATGAACCAGAAGATGAGTCGATGGAAGATTGCGGTTGTGACAATAGTTGCAGGTAGTGGACCGCTGTGGTGAAGGAGAACTCCGAATCTGGGGAGTAGCAAGAACAGAGTCCACAGGGTGTGGATGGAGAGTACCAAACTTGGTTTTCTCGGACAGGAGTTCAGAAACGGCTTGCTCAAGAGTGGGTAAAGGAGTGCGATGTAGGAGAGATGCGTGGACGGGCTCAAAACGAGGAGTGAGAGCCATGAGAAACTGAACCAAGCGCTGTTGGTCACGGTAGGTAGTAAACAAGGCAGCATCCTCAGTATGAGGCCATGGAGGCTCAGAAAGAGCGAGTTGATCCCAAACATAATACATTTGGGAGAGGAAATCATTAATGGTCTGAGTGTTTTCTTGGCGCATACAGTGAAGATGATTCAGAAGCTGATATTGGTGAGCAAGACCGGTAGTCTGATAGCGTTCTTGCAAAAAATCCCAGATGGCCTTGGTTGGAGAGGAAGCAGACTCAAGTTGGAACTTACCAAACTGAAAGCTGATGGATGTAATAGAAGTATTGCAAAGCCAGGTGATGATCTGATAGTTTTTACTATCCCAATTTTCTAGTCGGTCGATATATTTGGCAGCGGAGTCCGTGGCAGCGGATTCCGTGGTTGCTGGGACTGGTTTGCACACATCTCCAGTAATGATACGCCAAAGTTTCTTGCCTTTGAGGAAGCCAGACATGGCTTGTGCCCAAAGGACATAATTAGTCCCGTCAAGAATAACGGAAATAGGGTGATTAGAGGAATCCGGGCGATCCATGAGGGAAAAATAGCACAATGGTGGTAGAATCTGAAAAAACCGAGGTTACCAGTGAATTCAGAAGGCCGAAATTAATGGGAAAAGGAGTGAAACGACCCAAAATATGACCACAGAGGCACAAAAATGAGAGGCAAAGGGGCGCGGCGCACGTTAGCAAGAAAGGGCGCGGCGCACGTTAGCAAAACAGGCCAGGCAGTGTACGGTAGCAGAAGGGCGGACGTGTGCTGACGTCAGAAACACGCGGCGCACGTTAGCAAGATAGTGCGCGGTGCACGTTAGCACGGGACAGTGTGGAGGACGCGTAGAGCGCGTGTGAGGCGGAAGGCGGAGGCAGGCGACGCACCGTTCACAGAAGTGGCGCGTGAGAGCGCGTGTAACGTCTGATTGGTGATGCCATTTCTCTTCGACAGGAATCAGTTCAACCTCTACTATATAGACAATATTATTGTGTGATTTGCTTATTTAAACTCTCTCTCTCAGAACTACATGTGCATGCATTAGAAAGATTGAGAAAACAAATCAAGGTGAGGATCCATGAGAAGGGAGAGGGGATCAATGGCCCCTATCACAGTAGAAATAGCATCAGAGAGATTGAGAGAGCAAATTAGCTCTGTGTTTTTATATATCATATAAGAGACTGAGCTCTCTCTATTTATAGAGAGGAGAAGGTGACCGAAAGTGTATATTACAATACATTAAACTATTTGTGTGTTGGTGTGTGCTAGTGGGTGTGTGCTGGTGTGTGCTTTATAGTGTGATCCGAACATGTGATGCTAGTGGGTGTGTGCTGGTGTGTGCTTTACAGTGTGTATTGGGTGTGTATTGTATTTATCTACTATTAACATCCCCCTCAAACTCAAGGAGGACAAACATCAACCAACTTGAGTTTGGAGACAAGGTCAACGAAGCGGCCAGGAGAATGAGCTTTGGTGAAGATATCAGCAGGTTGATCAACAGAAGATATCGGATGGAGATGGACAGTACCATGAGTAGCGTGTTGCCGAATAAAATGGCAGTCAATCTCAATGTGCTTGGTGCGATCATGAAAAACATCATTGTGAGCAATTTAAAGAGCACTGTGATTGTCACAAAAGAGGGCAGTAGCGCCAGAGGGAGTAACACCCATGTCAGCAAGAAGCCAACGAAGCCAGAGAAGCTCATGAGTAGCTCCTGAGTAGTATCAGTAAGGGCACGATATTCGGCTTCGGTACTAGAACGAGCAGTAAGAGATTGTTTCTTACTGCGCCAAGAAATAAGAGAATCACCCAGAAAAAAGCAAAACCCAGTAGTAGAGCGGCGGTCAGTAGGATCGCCAGCCCAATCAGCATCAGAGAAAGCACGAAGCTGGAGAGAGGAGCGGGCGGAATAATGAAGACCATGAAAC